CCTTTTTGACCTCTTTCTTTCCCCATATTATCATTTATATTTTCAAATTAGCAATGGCCAAATAAGTCGAGTTACCATCCAAGTTAGTTAACTTGGATAGTTAATTTAGATGATTCAGTAAGAAAATATTGTTGAAATTTATAGGTTATAACAGAACATTCTTGCCCGTATTATTAAAAATATTCTATCGACTCTATTGATCAAATTAGTAATTGGTAACAATAAAAATCTAGTAATGAAAGAATTTACCTTTTTTATGCATAATGAATGTCTTAATATTTCTGAGTGAAGAGACTGATATGGATCTGAATAATAAATGATATATCTCATCACACGCAACAATAAATTGTCAAGCTTTTAGTGTGTGACACAATACTTTCTGACTTTATGTGTTCAGTATTATAATACTATAGTATGAATTCCTTGTAGACATTATCATCATACCTTGTTTGTTTGGCAAGCTTATGTCAAGTTACCCTTTTCTCACGTAAGCACTGGCTAAGCACCATTTTAAAGATGTTCTTTTCAGTTATAAATATTTTATTGTATTATTTGTTGATAAATGATCTTATCATTGTAAATCAACTAACCATATCATGTGAACACGAAAATAGTCTACAAAATCTTTTAAAAAAGTCCTATAGAGCCTCTCTTATATGTTTGTCATATGAATTGAAATAACGTTTTCTTCGTCAAATGTAATAAATGACGACAAAAATGTCAACAAGAGGTCATTATATATACTTAATACATATATGTAATGGGATTACAAAAATAATGAAAGTTTGCATTTTTCGTCCTTAATCATTGCTAAATGTAACAAATTTATTGTCTCTTTTTTAGCATAAATCATCATCAATATTTTGCATATGTAGTAAAACTCGTCATTACCTCCATTTTGATCATTAAATGATGAACTTGTCATTCTCTTTAAACAAATAAAAAGTCATAAAACAACCAAAAAAATAGTAATAAGAACAAATTTTTGTAAGTTAATCTCATATTTCCGCACATACATACTTCAATATATTGAATTTAGTTGTGTTCGAAATCATATTATTGTTATTGTCCATATTATTTTTAGGCAAATTAAAAGGAGAATACTGATCATTTATGTTACTATTGAACATAACTGTGTTCAAAATCAATTACGTGGAGAAAGGATAAGACCAATATTTGCTACTATATACTAACATTCATATTCTGAATATTGTCTTCAATTATTAAATAATTGGCTTACTTATACGTAGTGTGTCTCTTTCAATGTAAAATTGCATGTGGAATTTTACCATAATTTTAACATAATTTAATTAAGGTGAAGCAATTCTTTCTCGACATTCTGTCCACTAATTAGCACTTTTAATATGTTTGATTGATGCCTTGTATGAATAGAGAATAGACACATTCATAAACATTCGATCAAATTCACAAATCATTTTAGTATGACAAATAACATTAATAATAAGGAAAATTTTGTAGGTTTTTGGATCTTTTTATACTCAAAATAGGATTACAATTTGACACAAAACATATTGTTCTAAGAAACAGAATCGTTTCATCAAATAAGTTTAGATTGCATGCTTAAATCCTTGTCGTAATTACATTAAGATTATAGTCACATTTATTAATAAGTTTATTGCCACTAGATCATTTGCAACCACAACCTATTACAATGATTTTAGTATACTTATACCTCTTTTAATATGTTCGCTTGAAATTCTTTAAATCTAAATATTCATGGATTGACATTAGTTAATGTTGTCCTTTTGTAGAAGACACATATCCCAACATCTACATGCACCGGACATCAATATAATATAGGAATTTCCTTAATATTTTTTAATAAATAAAGACGTATTTTTTTTTTATAATCCTCCTCCTTTTAGCCTCCCACTTTCTATATTCTTCTCCTCTTTAACGATATATTTTTCAAAAACACCACTTTCCAATAATCACTCCCACACGAGTAGATCCAAAAACAATAGAGCTAACCTCTAGATACATTTATTTGTTAACTAATTTTATTTTTAATTTTATTTTTTAAGAAAGATTTTTTTTTTTAAATATAAATTAACATTTAACAAGAGGGAGTTGCTTTTAATCTCTTAAAAGTTGGGGATGAGAGTAAGACAAAATATTGGCAAGGGAGATGATTGATACTTTTTTAAAGGTTGGGACTGCATATGCAAATATCTCTTAAAATAAAATGCAGTCCATGAGCCAAACAAAAGGTATTTTTGGGCGGAATCCATCGAAAAAATGACCATTTGCACCAAAATGAAAAGATTTGGGATCATTTACACAATTTTTTTGAAAGATTTGGTCCAATTGCACAATATGTGCAAAGGTCAGGATCATTTGCGCCATTTTCCCATTTAAAAATGAAGGATTGGGATAATGAAAACATTAAACATGGGTCAAATATGTCTTTTCCACTAACTTTTTCTACTATAAATTTACAAGGGTCAAATATGTGTAAGGTTGTAAATTTATAGTTTATAAGAAAGAATAAAAGTAAAAAGACTGTGTCCGTAAATCTCACGAGATATCTCTTCTCATCTCTCCGATATTTTCTCAACTAATCACAAACATCTCCTCTTTTCTAATTATCTAATTATTAGAGTTAAATAAAAATTATATTTGTTGCACATCACTCTATTGTAATAAAATCACTTTTATTCTTTCTTATCTCATAAACTATAAATTTACAACTTTACACAAAAATTAAATATTAAAATATTTTTTAATTACAATAAAACATTTCTACGTCTAAATTTATAATTTAAAATCTCGAGGGCCAATCTTCTTCTTGTCAAAAGAATTCTTTTCACAATTTTATTATTTTTGGGAGGATTGCATCCCCTAGAAATTGTTGAAAGCGTCTAAGTAGAAAGTTCATTTCAATTAGAACGATTTTCCATTTCAACGTTTTAAGAGTTTTCGGTAGCATAATTGAGACAGTATGGACACTTACAAACGCAAATATACTAAACAAAGCGGTAAAAAAATATGTTTTGAACTTCCATATCAGTACGAGTGATGAAATAAGATCGAAGGAAATTAATGCAAATAAAAAGTTGAAATATTAAAAGGGCAATTTGTTAGATAAATAATTAATTAATCATTGCTCTTAATTAAAAACCCAAATCAGATCTGAATAAACATATCAGTAGCAGACAAACCAGGAATCAGGTGAGAAAGAATTGGAGCCTTCTGAACGTTGTCGTTTTATATTCGTACAAACGAGAGAGAGGGAGAGATTTATAAAGAATTGACTGATAGAGTGAGAGATTATTTTCTGTTGATTATTTTATTTAACTGTACCGACGGTTTTCAGGGAGATGTTTTGTGTTAATTATAGCAGTAGTATCTGAGATTTATACTCAGGTTTTCTTTTCATTTCGAGTATTGTTGTTGAATCTCGCATTTTCATCGCCGATTTCCTCTGCTCATATGCACCACAAACCAAGCCGCATGCATTCACGCTGTTAAGCTGTAAAAAGCATCATATTCTCAAGTTGTTTTTTTTTTTTTTTTTTTTTTTAAGAATTTCACTTAGTACTTGAGTGATTAATCCTTATCAAAGATTGATTAGTCCTGCAAATCATTTGTCGAAAATACCTTTAAGCACCAAATTTAATCGGAGGGAGGGTGATATCGTTTGAGGACAACGATTACGTGTTCGAGCCTTCTTCTTAAATTTTCATTTTCTTCTTGTTCTTTGTTTTCATTTCTTCTCCACTTCCTTGTATGCAACAATATTATCCAACAATCTCAAATGATATTTTGCAATGGAGAATGAAACCACTACGACGACGATCAAGTTGATGAATCAAGACCTCGTACATTTGGATCGTTTTGATGGCACAAACTTCATAAGATGGCAAGACAAATTGAATTTCCTTCTAACGGCATTGAAGATATTTTACATACTTGATTCGGAATCAGCATCGCTACCAAAACCAACAAAAGGTGAAACTGAAGCCGTAAAATCGATAGACAAAAGCATCAAGAGAATGAACATATATGACGCAGCTATATTCTCAATGCACTATCCGATAAGTTGTATGATCTATACAATAACACTTTTTCTACAACGAAGATTTTGAATGCTTTGGAGAGTAAGTACAAAGTCAAAGAAGAAGGTACTAAAAAATTTCTAATTTCGAGGTATTTTGATGTTAAATTTCTTGAAATATTTCCCTTCTTACCCAAGTACATGAATTACATGTTCTTGTCAACAAGTTCAA